AAAATTAAATTTTATAAATTTGTAATATTTATAGGAAAGTACAACAAAAAATTTAATATAATATAATATATAATATTAAATATAATATTAAATTTTTTGTTGTACTTTCCTATAAATATTATATTCATTTTCCCAGTAAGAATGAACCACTGTTGACAGTTTTGGTGCATTTACTTCCCATTTTCATTGCTTTTTGCATTAATAAAAAATCACTGTGCAATTTTTATAAAATTGATTTGTACTAATACCATGAGTCAAACACTACAGAAAAAATAAAAAAGTTTAAAAAAATTCAACCATTCCCACTGCCCCAGACCCAACATCATTAATATTTAGTGAACATTACAAACATCTTTCTTGTAGAACATTTTCCTTATTCTTCTCAAAATATAAAATCTTAACTAGTGTGTGTGTGTATATATATATATATATATATATATATATATATATATATCAGCGTTATAATTTCTGGAACACATTGCGTTTCTTTTTCCAATGAAAAGTTCAGTTTTTTCTTCATTTCATAAAATTTTTCTGTTATTAAATCTTTGAATAAAAATTTGCTTCCATTCATTGTACTTTTAACTTAGTAGATAACAAAGATAACTATGTAAATAACAAAGTACAGCACAATTCACAACAGCAAAATGTGGAAACAGCCCAAGGGCCCATCAGTACATGAGTGGATTAATAAAACGTGATATATGTGTACCATGGAGTTGTACTCAGCCACAAAAAATAGTGGTGATCTAGCACCTTGGGAGCCTGCTGGCTGCCAGAGATGTGAGGGAGAAACAAACCATCCACCTACCCTTTTTGCTGGACTTCAGCCTCTTGGGAGTTGACCTCTGCCAATATGTTGCTCCTCCTCGTTCTGTTCTACAACTTCTTCCTGGGGACTCTCTTGTGGGTTCTGGCACTTTTCCCTCAGAATTACACCCAATCTATGATTCTTTGTTTGTTTTGTCTGTTTCATCTAAAACTGTTCCTTCTTTCTGAGACCATCGGGCAGCCAGTGTTTCTGGCCAGCCATCTTGTCTCTCTCTCCAAAGTAACATTTTGAACTTGAAATGCATTTGCAATGCTAAATCTGAAAGTGTTTGTTGATGAATATAAACTGTTGTAATCTATTCACTGGGGGTTAATCACAATGGTGTGTGGCTGTCACACTCTAGAATGATCAGTCCTCCTATCTTTTGTGATTGCCCTTTTAATAGAGCACACTTTTACTTAAAACTATTTTTAAAGGAAAACAAAAGATTTTCAAATCCAATATATCTGTCAACTTCATTTGCAAAAAGTGGAGAAAAAAGGTTTGCCTGAGGGAATACTGCTTTAAACTATACTCTAATTACTTACACATGCAAATTTAACATTTTGCCAAAAATGAGATGCTTTATTTGGGTCTCTGTTTAAAGAGGCAGCTCTGGAAATCTTTTAGAGGCTTAACGCATTCCAAAGAATTGGCCAGCCTCATAAAGGTATAGTATTATCATAAATGCACATCATTTCTTGCATTGTTTTTTAAGAATTTTACATGTTTTAATAATTCAAGTATAACATTCACTAAAACAGGTGGCAAAGGTTGTTTATATTCATTTTATAGGCAGTAAACTGGTTGCAGTTAGACTTAAGTATACATAGAATTTATTGATAACCTGGAAATATGAATTAGTAAAATAGGACCTTTACTATTAATAGAATGGTCATACAAATTAATACCTCATCATGTCTTTTAGTCTAAGACCAATTAGAGCTGGAGTAAAATCTACTTCTTCCCTCTCCATTCATTTCTCTTTCCTTTTAAAAACATTTATAAGTTCTCTTTTCACATTAAAGAACATGATTTTTTTTTCTATGACTTGTTTTAGTTTTATTTTTGAATGCATTTATTTCATAAACCTTTTCATTAAGGCCTATAAACAAAGCTTGTATCAACTTTTATGCTTGTATAAATTTAAGAAATAGAAGAGCAACAAGAGTCAATATTAAGTCAATATAAGTAGTCACAAGAATTTTTCCCCTTTAGGCAGAGTGCGTATACACAAGGGAACTTCAAAAAGTTCATACAAAGATGGAATTAAAAGATAAAAATAGAAAATACAAACATTATTTCTCATAAGCTCCATCAAGTTCAAGACTCCTTATAGCAGCCATTTATTCCATCCCTAAAGAACTGAGTGAGGGTGCAGGGAATTTAACTTTGTCTGTGCAATCTTTTCTACATCATTAACTAAAGAAAAATGAGTGGCCTTTGAAGACTTTTTCAAGATTAGGAAACAAAAAGAAGTCACAGGAGGAGTCAAATCAGGATTGTAAGATGGATGCCTAATGAAAGAAAATGATTTTGGCAAAAACTACATAAATGCCTTAAAGCTAATTTGCTTTTGTTCCTTCTTTCTTAATTCTTCTTTCAATTACTTTTTATTTACTTAGGTCTCTAAGGGACTTTTTCATATGTGCGATACCTTTGAGAACTCTCACTATAGGCACAAGATGTAATGTCTTTTAGCCCGAGTCATGATAAACTGCACTGAATGGTTTTGCAGTATGAAAAAAGTCACATCTTAAATGCTGAACACGTGGAATTGTATGTCATAATTTTACATACATAATGTGTGTGTTTGCACATACTGGTGGGGGTATACCTTATTCAATTTTGGAATTTGTAGATATAATTACAGGTGGACTTTTCAATGCTAATTTATTTGGAACATTGAACTTTTTGCACCTCGATGGGATGTTGTATATGTAATTAGCACTCTATGCATTTATCTTTCTCACGTTTGCCACTCTTTTTACTGGGAACATTTTAAAAGGGTTTTTTGTCTTGTTTTTGTTTTTTCCTTTTCTTTACCCTCAGTCTTTTTGGGCTCAAACAACTATTCAGATCTGATGTGACTTTATGGTTAGGTCAGTTCTTTAATTGTGTGGTTCAGTGTTCCATAACAAATAGTTTGTTAAATCCCAGACTTAGCATTATAGTAGAGTGGCAAGGAGCTAGAATGATGGGAGATAGGAAAAGATTAAATAGGGCACCAAATTCTCTGTAAAGCTACAGAATTTCTATTTCTATCAAGAGAGCCATTGTGCTGCATCTTACATTCATTTTTCATAAGGGTGTTAACCATCTGGTTTCTCTTGTTTTTCCCTTCTTGCTCATTCACATCTGTTGCTTCTTCATTGTTCTACAAAAGCTTACATTCCATATTTGATGTTCATTTCCATAAAAATTCCATATTCATGAGAAAGCCTAGATTTTACCTGTAGGTCTTCTAAGATAATTACAGTGAAACAGCAGCCAAGGTCACAAACAAGAACATATCCAGATCCAATGTGCTCACTGCCACGGAAATCCCTGGCAAGGAATAGCTGCTGGTCATGTTTTGCCTGTCGGAACACTCATTTGAAAGAAGCAGCAGAGCTAGCAGTCTGACACATCCTTCCTGGTCGGGTCACCACATTAAGTGTGCTTAGTGATTTGTAAAGCTATCTGGAGAGAAAGAGCACGTTAAATTGGAAACAGATGGGCAGAATGACACACACAGCCCTGGAATTCACAGTGCAGTGCCGCAGAGTTCAGTTAGGTGCTTGACATCCTGACGATCTTGTCTCTGTAGGAAAAGGAAAGAAAACACCTGGAGACCCTGGGTTTGGTGGTGGTAAGCTCACATTTGGGGCCATTTGCTTTCTGATTTGCTCAGATTAGTTTCTCTCTGTTTTCCTTTAAGCAGATCTTTCCATCTACAATCTTTTTCCTTCCATCATCCTCACTACCTATCTCTTGCCTCCATCCTGTCATCCCCCTCCCCTCCCAAATCAATTTAAAATAAAAACTCTAGGTAGGTAGCAAGTTAGAGCAAATGTGAAAATTCTCACCATTCTTTCCCCTGGGTACTGGAGTTTCTTCATGCTCTCTGTGATTACCAAGCTTACTAAATACTATTACATTTAAAATAAAGCATTCCAATAAAAATTTCATGAAAAATATTCATACTATTTGACTATAATGCCACTAAAAAGTAATTTGAGAAGTGAAAATCAGTAGTTTTGATTTCTTAAAATGTAGTTATGTCAGAGCAAATATAAATATAAATATACAAAACAAATTATATCAAATAACTTATTTAGAAATTAGTATTCTTGTCTAACTTTCCCGTTGGCTCTAGCTATATTATTTAATAAAAGCATTAATATGAGAAAGGATAAATGTACTTGGACATTTTCTCAGGTATGAAGCAGTATGGTTTCTTATAAATAATGATTAACCAGGAGCTAGGAGGCCTTGTGTTTTATCTTGGCTTTGCTATTAACTTAATATTTTCATTTTATTTTTTAATAAGATGAGGGTGGTCATTTAAAATCCTGGCTAGATTCAAGAGAACACAGTAGCCTCAAATAGGTTAAGTTCTTTTGGTAAGTTAATGAGGGAAGGGGGAGCTATATGAATATTTGGTTTAGGTCTAAATGGGGAAGGTTGTTACAAAGGTTACAAACCTGTAGGGGAAGGTGTCATTGAAGAGGTAGTATATACAAAGGTATTAGAATGAAAAATAGTGGAGACCTTCCTGAGCTGTCACAAAAGACAACTCAAATTTTATTTATTTTTAAAATTATTTTAAATATTATTTTAATTTAATGATTAATTTCTTTTTCTTTAGGCTTGAGCTCTTATAGGAGAGACAACTCAAATTTTAAAATGATAATGAATCAAATGTCCAGAGATAAATTTCAATAAGAATCCAAAGTGTAAAAAGGGGAAGTAAATAACAACATAATAGGACAATCTCAAAAAGAGTTTTCAAGTGGACAAAAAGTAACCTTGGAAAAAGTCAGAAGAATACATTTACTTATAATTTGTCCAAAGCAACATGTTGTTGACTAACCGTGTGTCCCTCTAAATCAGCACTGTTGACATTTGAACTGAATGATTATTTGTTGTGGGGGGTAGTCTTGTGCATTGTAGGACGATTAACAGCATCCTTGTCTCTATCTTCTAGATGCAGATAACAATGTCACCTGAATCATGAGAATCAGAAATGACCCCAGATATTGTCAGAAGTGCCCCGACTTGAGAACCACTGTTTTAAATTAACTAATAATTTTCGAGAGGCCAGAGAGCCTAATGGTTAAGCTCAGGCTCTGGAGACTGGAATCTAGAACTGGATTTAAGTCCTAATTCTCTACCTTAGTCATTATAGACCTTGAGCAAATGACTTACAATGTAAGTACTAAGTAAGTTACTTTTGAAGCCTCACTTCTTCATTTGTAAAATGGGACTAATAAGAGTACCTGCTTCCTAGGGTTAGTGTGTAGACTAAATGAGCCAACACATGTGGAGCATTTAGCATAGTATATGGCACGTGGCAGCTACTCAATAAATGCTAGAAATTGTTCTATTATTTGACAGTTACAAAAGAGCACATAGTAAGAAGAGATGAACACGGTTATTTCTGAAAGTAGACTCTTGGGCATCAAGGAATCAAGGAAAGCAAAATATCTGGGTATCATTCTACAAAAGCATTTGGAGGCAGTAGCCTGGTAAATCAGTCAACAATTATTCAATCATCTGTTATATGCCAAGTCATATTCTAATGTTGAGTGTATAGATGTGAGCAAGACAAAGTCCCGCCTTGAAGATCTCACATATTAATGGGAAAGACAGAAAGGTAACAGAAGTGACTTAAAACCAGTGTGGTAGAGCAGCCACTGTTAGTTTTCCATCAGAGTTCATTCTTCTCTTCTTCTGTCATAACATGTCACATGGCTTCCCAACTACACTGAATTTCTGTATTTTGATACACTAAGTAGTGCAGTAGCCATTTGAGTAGCTCGTTCCAATGGTCCGTGAGCAGAAGTGAAGTGTGCCACTTCCAGGTCTTTCTCACATGGTTTTTAATGCTTTTTATTTCTTTTTGTGAGCTTCAAGGTCACAGCAATGATCAGAGTGACACAGCAGTGTTGGAAGTCATGTGTTAAAATTGACAGAGCAGATGTCGGCTTGGGTCCCTGAGTGACTGTATGGAGCAAAGCCTCCCACCCTGGCTGCAAGCTGCAAGTTTTGCCTGGGTCATTCACTGAAAGGGAAGTGGACCCCGATTATGTTTGAGCCATTACATCTTGCTTTATTTGTTAAATAATTTTGGTTACCAAATGAACACAGGTGATCTGGAAAGGTTCCTGTGATAAGAGAACATTCAAACTGAAATCTCACAGAAGAAAAAAAGGCACCATATGTCCTTCTAGAAGACTGTTTTAGGGGCAAGAAGAGCTAGTACAAGGGAGCTGTCTTTGACAGGTGACTAGAGCCTGACATTACAGCCCTATGATACAGAGGATCCATGCTGGAGGGTGAGCTAGGGGCGCACAGGTAGAAATGGCATCAGGATAAAATGCAGGTATGGATTCTAGATCTGTTTGGTTTATAAAATACTCCTTGGCAACCGGAAGGATTTCTTTCTCTTTTCCTAGAGAAACAAAAGGTTCTGCCCAAACATTTTTTTGTGTGTGTGAAAATCTGACACTTTAATTAGCATCCAACACCTGGTAGTTATATGTTGTTTAGATAAAAAATTCAATTGAATTTAACTTGAGCAAAGACTGCATCTGAAATCAATTGACATAGGTTGGTGAGGGTTCCTGATTCATCTTGCAGAGATTCAAAGAGAAACTATTTTTCAAGTTTTTCTGACAAAATCACCAATAATAGAAGTTCCAGGGAGGCCATAAGTGTCCTGGTAGTGATATGGTGTTTGGTCTTCATGGAAATTTACTTGATGCATAGTGTTTGAGGGTACAATCTTTAGTTCCTTCTGAGATTTAGTTTTTCTATATATACCTATTTTCACATTATCTACAAATTTCAAGAATATAGAAAAATTTCAGGAAGTATTAGTATTTCTTTTATTAGGAAAAGTCATTTGTGCTCAGTAGTGTGACACCAATCCCATAAAATGGCTGTGTATGGAAATAGAGGCCACTTTTTGGACACAGCCAATATTTTCTCATTCTTTTATTTAACAAAAATCATACTGATGTTCTGTGATACTTTTAATGTTAAGTTGCATGATCATAGATTAAATAAAATTGAAATAAATTATAAAACAACAATTTTTCTATATGATGGCTTCTAAAATCCAGTGTAATTCTTCAAATTCCCTCTGACTCAACATAACCCTATGATGCTCTCATCTTAGAAGTGAAGATTCATTCTCCATTGCCATATAAATCAACAAGATTATTTAAAATAGATGTATAAATGTGAGTTGGAGGGCTTGACGGTCTGAAAAGGAAAGTAAAGAAAATTTAGTATGTAACATTTTGCAATACTATTCTCATTGAGTTATTCTCAGTGAGGAACTTAGAAGAATAAAGTGTGGAATACTCTTGTCTGTGATCTGTGATTTTCCTAGGGTTACTTCCTTCTATCCACTGCCATAATCAGGACACAGCTCCTGTTGCATGGCAAACATGGAACAAAGGTTTGTTGAAAGAGAGCTAATGAAAAAATGAATCGCTTTGCAATACTGAAGAGAATGGCATACTAGACTGATGACATGTGGTCATATACCTAAGACTTTTAGGGGATGTGACTTTTTCCTTTTGAATCGTATTACATAGTCCTAAGGATCTATTCATTTCTTAAAGAGTCAGGAATCAGGCAAAGATTACCTTTCAAAGTAGTTTTGTCCATGGATTGCATTTTCAGTTTCTATATTCTCTGCTTATTTTTGATGGCATATTCTAAAGAAGCCCCAACCCTTCAGATGGGAGTATGCAAGAAGAAGAAATCAGCTAAAAGTCATCACAAGAGTCTCATTTTTGCTCCATATATATCTCTCTTATGTGTATGGAGTTCATGGTGATACTGAAGATGAATATTTGATAGCAAATTGAACCCTAGGGTGCTTTTCACTCACAAAATCTTTCACAACTTATAGTTCTAGAGATTCTAGAAATCAAGCTATTTTCTAGTACATACTTATCCACAAGCATCTACCTTCAACACCAGTTTAACCTGTCATTCTAACTTATGTATATTTTTAACAATTCATTTGTTGCTGCAGAACATTTACTGCTATGGTTCGGAATGAGTCTATATTTTGTTTCTGTAAACTGTTAAAAATGGCAGTAGTAATGTATCAATCTGATGGCATTTTCCAGGATATCTGGAAGGTCAAAACTGACTTCTTTCAAGTAAGTTATAAAATGATGCAGAAAAAAGCAACTTAAACCATTTCTTAATGTTGCAAACTAAGTGATGCAGATGTATATAGTGAAGACATGAATAAAACAATTGTCATGTCTTCCCTCAGACCTTGACTTACCCTAATATACCCACCATTGTGCCTCCGATAGGAAGCAGACTCCCTTTCAGTACTTTTTCAAACTAAGCTTCAAATCAGTGGCTGGTACTGGTTAGGTGTTGTTGAATGAAGGCTTTCTGGGTTTTGATCCTGGTGATTCATCTAAAGTTTATGAAAAGTATATGTAGACATTCAGTTAAAAGGTATATTTTGGAACACTAGGTTTTAAGCCTTGTTTAGGCTATTGATTGTGTCTAAACCATGTTATGTAAATTCCAGAGGAACTTCTAAGATCAAAGCAGAAAGATCCAGCTCTTTCTGTAATAGGAGTATAGTTTTGTTTCTGCAGACGCTAGCATTACTTTTCTGAGTTTATAAATGGCTCCTTTTTTCATGAAGTACCTTGTATGATGTCATGCAATGCTAAGTATATTTTGATTGTTACATTTATATTTATATATAGATGGAAATTACTTCAATATAACATTTCAAACTTGAAAATTCACAGAAATGCTCACTTGAAATGATAGCAAAATCATTCTTGTAGGTTCTTTAAAAATAGATTGATCTTTAAGTAGTTTAAGAATGCTCAGTTTTTACATGTCTGTAGGCCTGGCAAAGCTTCCTGTATATTTTGCTCCTTGTGTGTAGATGAGATGATGATATATTTTATCCCAAATAAACAAACAAAGCAAGGACTCAAGACTTGACAGAAGTTAATGCAGTTCTAAATTATGAAAAAGTGATGAAGACAGCTAAATGTGGATTCCTTGCATGTTCTTTGGATAAATTATCATTTTGTTTGAATGCCCTCCCTCTTTTACAGTCCTGGCTATTAAAGTGATGGTTCATTTGTACTGAATTCTAAACAAGAGGCAGAAACAGACAGATGAAAGGAAAGGAAATAAGCTAATTCATTTAAACAAAATTTTAAAGAAAGCTAATCTCCCAATTAGGACTTTGCACGTTTCTACAGCCTCTGAGCCACAGTATCAATTGTCGTCAACACTATTTATGTGGAAAATTGCACTGACATAGGGTAATTGGTTCTGCAATGTAATATAAAACAATGACGCAAAATAGCCTACCAGGGTACTCAATACCATAACTAGGCAGAAGTCCAGACATAATGTGAAACTCAGGAAGGGTACTTCAAAACATATTTTGGAAGTGAAACGGTGTGAGAAGAAAGTTTTGAATATTTTTAAGTTTGACATGATGACCAGCTTCTAGTAGCATTTTCAAATTGGTTAAAAAAAGAGAAGGAACAGCAAAGAATAATTTTGCCTTTACCATTTTGGGACTAGAAAGGTTTAATTTCTCCAGCATTTAATGGCCCAGAGCATCTGGGACTAGACACGGTGCCTTGAAATGAATCCCCTGGTAGATTACTGATCCCAAAGTAGTGAGGAGCCATGTCTACTTTTTTTGATGAGAAATTTTATTTGTGCTCTTCTTAGATAAAATTAAGATAATTACAAATTAAGGTGACAACATATTCCACTGCTATATCCCTATAAAGCCCTCACCTACTTTCTTAAGTGTTCAGATACTAAATCCTAACCACCAGGAAACTGCATAATTCTACAAAGGTCAGAAATATTCAGTTCTTTCTCCAAAGAAAAATAATTTTTATTTTAACCAATTTTTGTATTCTTCTATCTTAGAGATTTTCTATTCAAAGAAATTAATAGCCAAATGTGGGAGAAAATATTCATTTTTATTAAAGTTTACTGTATGTTTGGCATGTCACATGCTATTGTATTTCATTATTTCAGTAGTACTGTCAGGTACTCAGAAAGTCTAAGTAATTGTAAAACTTATGAATAGTTGAGTTGATTTGACAACTTGATAAGTCTACTTGACTCTAAAACCCATGCTTTGACCAGCATAAAGCCTGTATTTTATAAAAGAAAAGAATCATTGATGCTTGAAAATATACATTTAACAGAATTGAGAAACACATATCTTGATTTTGAGTTTATATGTAGTCTCAAAAATGACTTAACAATTGACTTACATTTTTACTCTTGAAATATATAGAGTAGTGCTTCAAAACAGTTTTTCATTTTTTAAAAGTTAACATTTTTATTGATATATAATTTGCAAACCATAAAATTCACCATTTTAAAGTGTGCAGTTCAATTAGTATATTCACAAGATTGTGCAGCTATCATCTCTATTTAATTCCAGAATATTTTCATTACCCCAAAAAGAAACCTTATAACCATTAAGTAGTCACTGCCCATTCCTCGCTCCCCCCAACCCTGGCAACCACTAACCTAGTTTCTATCTCTAAAGATTTTCCTATTCTGGACATTTCATATGAAAGGATTCATACAGTATGTGGCCTTTTGTGTTTGATTTTTTTTACTAAGCATAATGTTTTCAAGGTTTTTCCATGTTGTAGCATATATCAATACCTGATTCCTTTGCTTGACAACCTTTTTAGAAAATTTCATAGTCACTCCCCTAAGGCAACTCTTTAGACAATTTTTTCCCTGATTGTTCCCGTCCATGAAATTTTGATACCACGGATATACTGTATACCCTATTCAATACTATGTACTGTGACTTTTGGAGGACCATTAAGCACTGTAGTAGGAATGTTTACCCCCTGGGGGGAATATTGCACCTTGGGGGCAATATAGCCCACTGCGATATATGGCCCCCTCCCTTCCCTTAGCTCATCACTAGCTGTTTAGAGGAGCAGACAGAGCAGAGTAAGCAGAGCTTCAGATCTCAGCAAATCCTGCCTGGATTCTGGTCCTATCACTGTTCCTTATGAGAACTAGAGTAAGTGACGTAACTTCTCTGAGCTCCAGCTTACTCTTCAGGAAAATGGACTTTTAATTCCTAACTCATAAAGTTGTTATTAAAGTGGAAAAAAATAACATCTTCGAAGTCCATAGCAGGGCCAGCTGAATTCTCAAAAAGTGTTGGGTCCTTTACTTTTCTTCTATGGAGACATCACTAGACTCTACATTTTTTTGGAACTAAGCCTAGGAGTGTCAGCCCAGAATTTGGGAAACTTGGGATCTGGTACAAACTCTGTACTACATAGACACATGGTTTTCTCTCTGTAAAATGCGAGGGCTCATTTCTAAGTTGCATTTTAGGCTTTACAGTGTGTGATGTTGTAATACCATAGTAGGCCCTCCCAGGCATATAAAAGAGTAAATCACATTTAAAAGTTTTGTTGGAACTTTTAATCTCCATGCCAAGAATTTTGTAACAATGTTTTGCCCCTTCATGCATCCTTCAGGACCTGCATATTAAGAGTTAAGAACCACATATAGCCATGAGTGATACCAATTGGCCCAGTAAGAGGAAATTTAATTTGGACTAAAAACTGTATTTCCTAGTGATTTCCTCATGATCATATTTCTGGAAACATTGATAAAAGAAACAGCCATGTTTCTAATTTCACTTTATTTTTATCTATTATAGAGTGGACATAGAAATGATATTAGATAATTACAGCTTATTTTAAAGAATAAAAACTATTAGCAAGTAAACAGTTTTTTCCCCACGTGCTAAAGTGTTAACATCAGTCAGGATCCAGTGCACAACAGGAACAGACAAAGGATGGGTGAGAAGCAGTCTGATCATTGGAAGTCGTTATGCTCCCCAGGGACCATGGAAGAGCTTGCTTAACTAGGCTAGCAAAGAAAAAACATGGAGATAATTTAAAGCTCCTCTTAGATTATGGGCATT